GGAGCAATGCAATACCTGAAGATGGGGGTCGTGGGTCAGAGCTGCAGGGGTGTGTCCTGATTCAAGTCCACTCCCATGCCACTAGGGCACTTGTAAGCTACCATAAATATATGTGTTTAATAAAGAAATATTTGTAGTATCTTGTATCTTTTTGTTTTTGAGAACTGAAGAAAAGAAGCATGAAGCTTTTCTTTTCCAATTTTTAAAAATCTCAACAAAAAATGTTTTCCCATGAATGTGTACTTATTAATTTCATAATTTAATGTGAACAGGCAAAAAGAGCAATAGCAATTATTGCTTTTATTTTTCCTGTTCCAAAAGATAGAGTGTATTTTCCCAGTTGCAGAGAGACGTTTGTCTTTTCTTGGCAGTGCTTTCTACCTTGTATCCTTTTTCATGCTTATTTTTCCTTGTTGGCTGCCCTAATTAACTAAGTTGTCTGTTTGCATGATTATATCAGTGAGCCAATTTAATGAGTACAGTCTGTAACTGTGCTTACTGCAGGTCATATCCTAGTCTTGTCATTCATAACCTGTTTGACCTTGAATGAGTTAAACTACCTCTCCATGCCTCAGTTTCCTGAACTATGAAATCACCATATCTATATCATGTGGTAGTTAGGAATTTTCTCTCATTGCCATTTGTTGGAACCAACTCATAATTCACCCTGTGGTGAGTTTTCAGAATCTGTAAATCCCACCATCTTTCTTGGAGCCACTGGTGGATTCAGACGGCCGTAGAAGCATGGCCTTTGGGTTAGGAGCACAATACAAAAATAAGCATTATTGATTTCATTACTGTTATATTACAACAGATAATATATTCAGTGTATTATTCCTCATCAGTAATGTGTTGTTTGAAATGATAAAGAATGTAGCACATTAGCATTCTATCAATTCATGCATATGTATTTGCCACAAAATTCTTTCAGATTATTTGTATGCTTGATTTTCCATTGAATAAAACCAAGGGTTTATATTCTCCTAGACAGAGAATCAGTGAGTTCCATATATTTTCAAAACGAGACACATGCTTTTAGACACACTTCCCTGACTTTCCAGTCACCCTAAATTTCTATTTGTAACTTTACTTTTCTAGCATCTAGGTTACTTTTCACTCCTGGAAATTAGTCTTGGCTAAGTTGGCCAAGTCTTTATTTACACTTTTGATAATTCTTAAATACATTTTCTTTTCAGTCTTGCCTAATTTAAGCTGATCTCCATTTGTAGATTTTTTTCCCCCACCAATTTCCTAACCAATTTTCTTGCCTCTACTCTCCTCTATTCTCCTATGTTAAAGTACCAATTTCAGTATGTTGTTGTTATATGCCATTGAGTTAGAATCAACTCATAGCTGACCCTACAGTGGTTTTTTTCAGAGACTGTAAATCTCTTAAAAAGGATTGCCTATCTTCCATGGAGCAGCTGGTGGATTCGAACTCTCTGCCGTTAGTTTGGCAGTGTTACTTCTTTTCCACTTGTCTGTTGTTGTTGAGTACCATCGAGTTGGAGCCGCCCCATAGCTGACTCTTCAGCAGGTTTTCAAAGGCTGTTAATTGTACAGGAGGAGATTGTCCATCCTTCTGTGGAGCAGCTGGTAGATTTGAACCACATGCCTTTGGGATTGCAGTGCCCTATAGTTAAGTAAATGAGAAAAAAACCTTATTGGTTCACTGTTTCCCATAACATAAATTTAAAACTCTGTCCAGCTTCCCCTACCTTTTTTTGGAAAAAGCTTTTGTATTGTCATTCTCCTTACTGGATTGTAAAGTATTTGAACAGTTGACTGTATTTCAGTTATCTTTGTATTTTGGATAACCTTTTTTTAAGTTTAATGCTGTATGTGTAGAAATATTCTGACAGTATTTAATTGGAATTAGCATGTTGGATAAGGTTGGTCACTTTAAGTAAATTGTGGAAATACTATTTGGTTTAATGGGAAAAGGAAGATAAAATATTTAACTCTGCTTCTTTTCTGGGTACATTTTGTATATGATAAAAAGAAGTACCAGCACTTGCTTGAAAGAGAAGAATAGTTGACTTGCTATTTTGTTCACTTACTAGTGAAGACTTACCTGCATTTTAAATGGTATTTCCGTAGGTCAAAGAAAAACATAAGCCAGATCCTTCAGAGAACACAGTGGATGAAAAGCAGGAAAATACTTCCTTAATGAAGTCTAGTAATCAAGAAATCACTGTTTCCTCTGGTTCTCAGCTTGCCCAGCCCAACAAGAATCAAGAAATATGGTCCATCCTAGAGAATGTTTGGATTACAATATATCAGAACAGGTACTAATTTTTTTTTTAAAGTTTAATTCTGCAGTACACGTCTGTGGTGGTTTTTTCCAAACATTGAACAGTGTTTGAGTTGCAAGTTTAATGAACTACAATCAAAAAGTGTCTTTTGTTTCATTTGTTTCTTAGGAACTGATTCTTAACTGGAGGTGTGCATCAGAATTAAATAGGTCATTTTCAAAATGACCTGAGGTCTTTCCCTAGATAGTTGCAGTGAGGCTAAATTGAATATAGACTAATGCATTAAAAAAACACACAAATAACAGAAAACCCCCTTCTTTTCAGATAATTCAAATGTGAACCTTTGCTTGAGAAGCTTTGCCTCCATTTGCTTGAATAGAAGAAAAATCACCCAGATTGGTTACATAAATTAGCAGGACAGAGCATCATAATAAAGTTGAGAATAATTTGAAAGGAAAGTGAAGAAATATGCTTATTATTTCATGCACATACATAACCATAAAGTAGCATGGTCTTGGTATGATGATAAGACCAAGACAATTTTCTAATAATTCCTCAAAAAGATTGCCACTGGATATCTTAGAAATAATTTATATGGCCCAATTTTAATGTAGTTCCACACTGATATTTTTCTCAAGCTCAGAATCTGTGTGTAACTTATTTGCCAAGCAGATGTTTTGTATTATAATTTTGTTTCTAGGGTTCAGTGTGATTTACAGATTAAGATCATCAATCCAGCTGCTTTAGATCATTAAAAGAACCAGAGTTGAGTTTACTATCAGTTACAACATTATAGTTTTGGGAGCTCTGGTGGCCTAGTCTAGGCAAGAAGCTGCACAGCAATCCCAGAGGTATGCCTTTTGAATCCACCAGATGCTCTACTGGAGAAGGAGGAGCAATCTCCTCCTGTACCAGTCAGATCCTATTTGACAGTACATACAAAAAAAAATAATAATAAACCCCCTCAATATTATAGCTTTGAGACCAATTTTTGTTCTTGGCTATAATTTAAAGAAATGTAAGAACAAATTTATATTCTGCCAGGTAACTGCATTATAGCTACTTTCTAGCTTATCGTGCTAAATAAATAAAATGTGAGCCAATGATGACAAAGTTTAACAATTTACATTGTCTTATAAAACTTATGTAAGATTTTGTTTCCAGTCTTAATATATTTTTAAATATCAGAATGTGATCACATGTAACATAAAGCAATTTCCACTGTCAATATAAAATAGATTGGAACCGTAGCTAAGATATCTTAATCTTCCTTTCATTTATAAAATATTTGAGTTATTTTAAAGACCTCAAAAAAAAGCTGATGTATAATATACAGGCACTCATCTTTGTTACTGAAAAGTTCTGCATAATTTTTAAATAACACAATTTACATATTAGCATTTTAGTAAGTTGAATATGCTTGTATTTCTGTATCAAAAGATAATATCTAAAACGTCTACTTTATTGTTTCTAAAATCTGACTGGATACCAGTGACACATGTAAAACTTCATAATTATTTTTATATTTATACCTTTATAAATTGGCTGTTATCTACTTTACAAAATTATTTCATAATCTAGATTTTAAATTGTTCTGAGAGTAAGTTACCAATGCCATTTGTTACATTGATTTGAATTATTTATCTTTTAAAAGCTCATTTTTTTGGTTTTGATTTGATTGAAAGTTTACAGACCAAATTGATTTTCCATTCATCTGTCTGTATATGTTTTGTTACATTGTTGTTATGTGCGGTCAAGTAACTTGTGACTCCTAATTACCCAATATACAACAGCCCTGAAACCTGCTCTATCCTGTACCAGCTTTACTGTCTCTGACACGCCGACCCTCATTACCTCTGTCACTGTATCATTCCATCTCATTGATATTCCCCCTCTCCTTCTCCGTCCCTCCACCCTTCCAAGCATGATGTTACTCTTCAAGCACCAGTCCCTCCTTGCAACATGCCCAAAGTATGTCAGATGAAACCTCAGAATCCTTGCCTCCAAGGAGCAGCCTGTCTTCACCCTCTCTAGGACAAACCTGTTTCTTCTCCTGCCCATTCAACACATTTCTCTAGCACCACAGCTCAAAAGCATCAATTATTTTTCTGTCATCCTTAGTTATTATCCACCTCTCTGATGCATAACAAGCCATTCCAAAGACTTTTGCCTGAATCAGGCGCACCTTAGTCTCCAGACTGATGTTGCTGCTCTTCAGTACTCTGGAGAGGACCCTGAGAGCCGACTTTGCCAGTGCAGTTCGTCTCTTGATTTCCTGGCTGCTGGTACCTAGAGTGTTGATTGTGGAGCCAAGCAAATTAAAGCTGTTAACAATCTCAATCTCTTCACCATCCATCGTAATGCTGCCAATCGGCCCAGTGGTTTCTTATGTGACATTAATGATAATAAATACCCGTGATGACTGTATTCTTTCTACTTTATTTCTGTGATTCTCATTTCCATGCATTTTTTGACCACTTCTTACCTTCCATGATTTATACCTGTGCATATGCCGCCCTTTTGATCTTGTATGGGGATGATTGTTCTAAGGAATGACTGTTTTCCTCTTGGTGGAGTTCACATTAAAGGCTTATCACATAGGATGTAGATTGAGCTACAGGGGTGAGTAGGTCTAAGCTCAAAGGGTACTTACTGTGGACTATAGGGATTCCACCCAGTCTCTGTCAGAGTGAGAAGCCTGTCCATTTTTATGATTTTGGAAGTTGTTCCACATTTTCCCCCACTCTGTCTAGGCCCTTCTGCTGTGATCCCTTTCAGAGTGGTCAGCAGTGGTAGGGGTTACCATCTAGTTCTGGTCTTAAGAACCTAAAGGTAGAGTTTTTCATGGCCACCATTCCTTTGTATTAATGTTTCTGTGATCTCTGTATTGCTTTTCTCCTCTTTTCTAGGTAAGAAAAGGTCAATAGTTGCATGCTCACTAAATTTTTACTTGAAGTGTGTAAAATAAGCAGAGAACTACCAGAAGTCCAGGCTGGGCTTAGAAGGGGTCGTGGTACTAGAGATATTGTAGCTGATGTTAGATGGATCTTGGCTGAAAACAGGGAATACCAGAGGAATGTCTATCTGTGTTTCATTGACTATGCAAAGGCATTTGACTGTGTAGATCATAACAAACTATGGCTGACTCTGA